TGACCCCCATGCTCCCAGGAACAGCACCCTGCTGCCCTGGGGTGGGTCCATCACATTTACCAGCCACGCTTTCTAGATCCAAGTGGGTTGGAAAAGTGCTTAGAACACACTGCAAGGTTGATGCTTTCCCCGAAACGTGGATCTGAAGGAGCTGGGGGGTTTAGAGGGCCAGGAATAGCGCTTGGGTCGCCTTGGCACAGCTCCCCAGCTCTAATCTGCAGGAGTTTAGTGATTAGACTCCAAGCACCACCTCCCTTGACTTGGTCTTTTCTGCCCTTCTCAGATTACCAGAGGATTTCTGTGGGCCAAAAGTCTAGCAAGAAAACATCCTTTACCAATTTGCACGGGGAAATTGTTTCAGCCCCCTGGAATTTTTCAAATCGCATGGAAATGGGAACTGCAGAAATTAAATCAATAAAATCATGTGAAACAACAGGAAAATCTTCACTTGGGTCTGTAGGGGGAAAGTGGCAGAGTCCTATCGGTAAGGCACTGCAGCAAGCCTAGGTATTGTCATCAACACGTGGACTGGAGAAAAGAAAGGGTGGAAATATTTTTAGGGTTTCTGAAAAGAAATGTGGTTTTGGCTAAGCCTGGTTTACCAGCTCCTTGTCAGAAGGTAAAGGGACAGTCAGGCACTTGTCTAAATCCACATCCTCGTGACTGATACTGCAACATTTTGGAAACAAACCTTGAAACAAAATAACACAAAAAAAATCCTGGGTTTCTATTTTCAGGGCCTAGAGCTGACAGAATGTGCTCCAGTGAAAACACATGAGCTGCTTGAGTAATTGGCTGCTCTGGGCCGATGATGAGGTCGGTGCCAAACGTTTTTAGAAATGATGTGATGTGTCAATAGGATCTGAACAAGAGTCACACACAGCCTACACAGCACAGCAGCAGATACAACTTAACAGCAGTGTTTTGCCAGACTAATCAGAAAGAACAAGACCAATTTAGCACTACCAGGGACTCCGGACTTCCTAATGGCATTTCTCATCTGCCAGCATCTGTTGTGCCCATCACATCACCAGTTCCTCCAGCAGGTCAGCACTGCAGCACCGAACGCTCCAGCGCAGCTCCGAAGGGGTGGAAAGCACAGTCACCTCGGGATTAGCAGCTCCCCCGGGAGATGGAGTGCTGCCACCGCCCGGCTGCAGGCTCCCGAGCCCTGGAACTTCGGGAATGAGGCAGGAGAAAGTAGTGTTTGGCGTAAATAAAGCCGAAGGGCTGATGTGGCAACGCGAGTTGCTGCGAGGGGTTACAGCGCGCCGGAGGGAATGAACGCGCGGCAGAGCTGCGGAGCAGGAGGGGAGAGTCACTGCTCGCTGATAAGCTTTTACGATTCTGCCCACTTCCAACGGCTTTTGCAATCAGGAAGCAAGTCCAGCAAACTCTGGACTGCACAAGGAAAAAGAGAGGGAGGCAGTTCCGTAACCGAAGCAGCGTAACGCAGAGCCGTGTGAAAGTCACATGAAAGAGCAGCCCAGCGAGCTGGGGGCACAGCGGGCCAAGGGCTGGGGGTGAACACCAGGTTGCTCCTGTGCCACAGCTCTGCCAGGCGGGCGAGGGAAGCTGTCCACACTCCTGGGAAGGGCAAGGCAAATAGGATCTTCCGGAGTGTGCAGAATCGATCAGCCTCGTCTGCTTCACAGTCAAGGTTTTTCAAGAGCTGTCACCAGTGTTCTCTCGAGATTTTTCCCTCAGAAAACTGCTGTGCACAAAGTGGAGTGGGAGCACACGGATGGGGATGCTGGGGGAGAAAAGACAAAGCCAAGCTAACAGCACAAGTGGTGTCCCAGGCTGAGCTGTGTGGCAGGTCTCAGATCCCACAAGGATTACACCTGAATTACACACACACGTGGCTTTCCCTCATCATGTACCTCCCAAACACAAAAGGGGAGACCGTTCCAGTAAGGAACACGCTCAGCCCCACGTTGCTCCCCACAGGTGTAACCAACAGTATTTCTGACAAGCATAATTCAACCCTCAACTAGAGATGGACCAACATAACCATTGGCCAGACCTGAAGGCTCCCACAGAGGGGACCTGGACCTGAGCAGAGAGAAGAGCCACCAAAGGCTTCCCCTGTCAGTGACACCCAGTGCCCTCACCAAGCCACCCAGGTTAGATGCCAAGTGTATGTGGGAACATGTGGATGCATCCCAAAGGGAATGAGTCAGCAAGCCAAACAGGCTTCTTCTGTCAGTGGCAGCGGAGAGACAGAGATAACATTATTCCTTTTCTCTGTAACCTGTGAAGCATTTGGATACTCCAATTGTAGTGGCCAAGTAAACAGGAAACCAGGAAGGAGCCTCCGTCGCAGCTGATGCTCTCACAGCCCATACGCAAACGCTTGAATAAACAGACCTAATCCAGGCGATTCGTTCTCGAGGCCTGATGTGTTTTGGTTTCTCACACACTTGCATATGGGCTCTATCACACAGCAAAACGAGCTTCTGACTACACTCAGCATGGCCTGCTTGATGCACTTTTGGAACATGATGCCAAATTTATCTTGGATGCATTTTCAAGCTCTAAAGCAGTATTTCTTTTACCAGCTTTCTCAGCAGAAGGCTGT